TTACTTCCTTTCACGTTTTTCAAATGAGAATACGTCTGAACATGCCTCTTGACATCTGCTACTCCTTGCTTTCCGCAAGATAGTGTCTTATTACACAAGGTGCAACAGAAACTATGCTTAGATTCTTTTGAAGCGACAATACATGGCCATGTTTTTGTCCATTGCAGATTAAAACTGGCTTTATAGAGGAAAGAACCAGTGTATCTTTTCTTCTTATTTGCATGTTCCTCTTCCTTATTTGCATGAGTTTTTTGTCTCTTTTTTGGTAGAGAGTCATCTACAGTCGTCTTGGCTTGCTTCTCTGCTCTTATCTCTTTGTATTCTCCCTTACTTGGGTTGACCACAAAATCAGCAGGCATTAGAGGCACAAAGTGATTAGGGTTCCATTTGTTTACATCTGTATTAGATATGTGCGACCATAAAATAATTACTTTCTTCAAACAACGCTCCACAGTTGGTTTTATGGTGATATCAATGAATGAGCGATCAACAATTGTGCCTTTTACCATTGGGTATACAGACACTACAGGGCAGCCAATGACATTACATAACGCAAACATATGCCACATATTTGAATAAGTCCCTGCTTTTATCGTATTCAGTACACCAGCTTCAAAAGCATAAGAAATGCGAATATCACTTGTCTGAGCCTTGGTAGAAGTAGTTTCAAAACTACTGTAGAACATTTTGCTAATGAAAGCATCTTTTCCTGTCAAAGTTCTAAGATAGTTGTCGTCCAGATACCGATCTTTGTTCAAGCAAAGCTCGACAAATGTCCGTACTCTCAGTTCTATGTGCATGTCTTCGTTGCTACAAAGAACAGTCGAAGCAGCTCTGTATAGACAGTTCCCGTCGCCATAGGTCTGCACTGGCAAATGAAATGAAGGTGCATCCGAAGGAATAAGCTTAGAGGCGACTGTGTCTGTAAATCCTGATGAAATAACAGTAACAAAATTTAGGTTCCTTCTGGTTGACCTAACTTTGCGCACAAATATTTTGAAAACATGGCAAGCCATTAAATTCAGCCTGTATATGACAAGCCTATTTGCAAAATAGAAAAACCCTTAAATATTTTGGGTAGGGAGTATGAAAACTCCATTTTTTTATTAGGCCAATTTTTTTAATTGTCCATTATAATGAGCTTTATCCCAAAAATCTAAAATATAATAATTGCGTGTAGATGCTATTAAAGTAACTTAATTAATCGTTTAAAAATTCGCGGTATAAATATAAACAGAATGCAACAAGTTTGTATGAGCCTATAAATTTATAACCATATGCCTGAAATAAAAGTTGTATATAGAAGCAGTAGTTAGGTGGCTTTTATTAGCTACTTTCAAATCTCTTTGGTTGTTATTATTTCACTAGTAATGAAATAAATTTCAAACAAATTTTCTCAGAAGTTCCTGTAAAATAAGGGACGGACCATTAGAAAAGTGAAGGGGGGTATTTTTTTCATGTTTGCAATTTTTTCAGATATTCAAATGTGTATGCAATTTTTTATGAACATGTTACCTTGCATGCATATTTTTTTACCCAATACATATAATAAATTTGTTTTCTTGAAACATTTTTTCTTACACATTACAAGATGTTCTATAATCACAACTATAATTAGATTGTTGTTGTTGTGTGAAACTTAAATTTCTCTTGTGACATTTTGATTGGATAATAAATATAAGCTTTGTTGTGGGTGGAGAGCTATTGGATTAAGGTTTGTGTTGTTGTTCTGTTTGCAATTATTTTTGAGACGTTCCTGTTGCATGTTTTTTTATTTTTTTGCCTTTTATGATTGTATGCATTTTTTCTGTCCCCCCCCCCTTCACTTTTCTAATGGTCCGTCCCTAATGGGCTATTCCAATTATTATCCGCACCCCCTTGTTGAGCAACCCCTTTCTCATGTCGGTATTCCGCAGGCCATTTTTTAAGAAATTAAAACTACTGAGGCCTTTTCAATGAGGGCATTTTCCCCACACAGTTATGCGTACATCATTGTCTATGCTGTGCTGACTTTGGAATGTAGAGAATGTGAGAGCCTGGGAGGATATGAGAATTAAAGCAGGCAGATGCAGCTTTTTCAACAAGAATACTTTTTAATTCATGATCAGAAGCAGAGGTGCCAGAATATCAATAATTAGGGGGGGGGGCAGATATTCATATATTCGTGTTCTGCCCAATTAATTTCTTTTGAAATCGATTGTTTTTACAGTCTGTGAACACGAATATATGAATATCTGCCCCCGCAATTATCGATATTCTGGCGCCTCTGGGTAACAGCAATATACCGGTCGGATATTGGGTCGTTCCAGAAAAGATCCATACCCCCCCCCCCCTCCACGGAGGAAATTTTTGCTGTCCGAAGGGGGAGGGAGGAAAAATGTCTTAGGATGTCCGAAGGGGGGGAGAGGAAAAATGTCTTAGAATGTCCGAAGGGGGGGGAGAGGAATGTGGATATGTTTGTCTGAAGGTTTGAGACTGTGATAAAGCTATCTGATCGGCGAATATAACGAGCACGCAATTTTTATCGGCTATATGTAGCTCTTGAACACCGGAACGTTTATGTAACAGCAATAATTATACGTCCACGTAACTGTAAGCAAAATAAGCGGCCCACTTTTGCATGCATGGCCACCAAAAACTAACTTGCTGTAACAGCGTATCCTGCATGTTGAGAATGAGTCGAAAATTGACACGCTTTATTTATATAGTTTGCAGTTTTCGTTCGTATATATAAGTTTGAATTATTCAAGTGTTAAAAATAATAGTTATTAAACTGTTGCTCGAATTAAGGGACTGCTATGTGAACTGAACTCAAAACAATTTGTTTTAGTATATAGTCAATAAAGCTTCCTTGCGAGGTGCGTATCTAGAAAATAGAAATGGCTTTCATATTAAGGGCGAGGTTAAGGAATGCAGTAATACTAAAAAATGCATTAACATGTAAGTAAACATAGCAACGCTTGTCAATCAGTCGCAAGTTACATCGAATTTCAGTCCGAATTTTACTTGAATGAATTTCGAAGTGAATTTCTGCAAATTATCCGACAAAACCTGCCACGTGTTTGTGTTCGCAAGTCACAAGAAGCCGCCAAGTGTTCCGCCACGCCGGAGCTATTTGAAAACAGCGTAGAAAAGTCACAATAAGCCATCGCTAATTCACTCTACGCTGGAGCGAAATCGTTTGAAAACTTCACGTCACTTTTGCCGTAACAATTTGAGCACGGTTTCTAAACGGAGCGAGGTGAAAACGGCGGAGCGCTTGATAGCTTCGTGTGAACAAAACGTGTAAACTCGAATGCTTTTCAGTTAAATTTCTTGGGTCTATTTGAAATATTTTGGGTTTACACGAGTGCTAATTCAATTTGTAAACAAACTGTAATGGCGGTAGTGTGAACACACGTAAATTCTGCCCGCATTAGTTCGCTCGCGCGTAGTGTGAACGTAGTCTAATTTTCGGTGACGTTTTCAAACGGCGAGGTAGCCTTTAGAAAAATTTAGAAATAGTGGATGTCCGAAGGGGAGGGGGGTAATTTTGGGCTTTGATGTCCGGAGAGGGGGGGAGGATGAACCATTCAAGGATGTCCGAAGGGGGGGAGGGGGTTATTTTCGATTTCCTCCGTAGGGGGGGTATGGATCTTTTCTGGAATGACCCATTGAAAAAATCATCCCATCTTCTATCATGCAAATTCATATGCACTTGAAACAATTAATTACAGAACTGCAAGTTTAAATTGACACCATTTACACCGTATGCAAAAGTAGTTTCATAATTTAACTTACTACACCCTAACGGTCTCATTCCTGCATCCTGGGTATAAACTTGAGATACATCTGCCAAACGTTTACACAACATATCTACTGTAATGTCATAGCCATATTTATATTTCCAGTTGGCAGCTTCATAACGAGCTCGCTGAACTTGAGATCTGGAGTCAGCTGAAAAATAGTAATTACATAACAATAAGCATACTGCGGGGTTTCGAATATGCTGCTTGTAATTACCAGGATACACAAATTTCCTCAAAATTTCAAATGAGAAGGTCAAGAAAATTTAACTTTTGAAAGTAGAAACACAAATTGCAACATCCCCCATTGTCTTTTTTTTTTGGGGGGGGGGGAGGGTGCAGGCAGCTGCCTCAGAATGTCAGTGAGGTTCCTCTCTCACCCACAAGGGTAAGTCTTCAAAAGTAAAGGGATTTTGCTTACTTTGCGACATATAAAATTCTATCAATTGAAATAGGCTCATGACAGAAAACATCATTCCACACCTCCCATTTATACTATTCCCAGAAGTTGTTTTCCCCCCAACAGACAACAGAAATTGTCTTGTGGGGGGGGGGAGGTGGATCTTTTCTGGAATGACACAATGATGAGATTTTCTTACCAATTAAACCAGTCATGACACATCCTATTCTTTCTGTTATTTCAAATAAATGTGTTACTGTTGATGCATCAAGCAATTTATCCTAAAATACAAGTTTCAAGAAGCTGAAGTTATGATCAATGAAAGGTGCCTTGAACTTATTAAAAATATTTTAAGCTATGGATTATCAAAATTACAACTTCCCTTACCTTCAAAAAACAATGAATTGCTTTCACTTCATTGTAAGCAAACAAAATTGATACTGTATAAAGATTTCAATGACTGTTTACTCTTGCAATTTTTGCTGTGATTTCTAGTGCAATTTTCTTCTTCTGATGCATTTGAATGAGTAGATGAATTATGAATGTTCTGAGTATATGTACCACTGACGTACCCTCATCAGAACATTCATAACTCATCCATTTATTCACATCCGTTGGAAGAAAATCACAGCAAAAATTGATCATAAACTGACCTTTAAAATGCAGATTTAAACAGTGGATATTTTGTTGCAAATAGCTTCCACGTACAGAACTGGAGACATGTCTTTGCAAGTAATTGATCAATGCTGTCGTTGATCAATTTTTGCTTGACAAAGAGTTAAAGTGGAAGTCAAGTCCGTAATGTAAACAAACGGTTTGTTTACATTTTGAACTGCTGTATTTTTTAAAATATGATGTACTGTCTGAAGATCTAACACTATTTTGGTTCACTATGCTTCTAAATGAATATGAAATAGAGTTTATGTTCAGAAAAATTAGAAACATTCGAAATTTAGGCAATGTTTACATTAGAGGGTCCTCACATTGTTATGAGCAGAACCGATGCGCAGAACGGACTTGACTTCCACTCTAAGCTCTCTTAGGGGCCGATTACATGGAGCACTTCCAATCCCGGGGTTGAACTCAGCTCTGCTAACCGGTTTGAAGTTTTGGGCGACTACATGGATGACTTCAACCCCGGGATTGAAATGCTATACATTTCCAGCATTGATTCCCAAAAGTGACAAACCTGCTGTCATGTAATTGCATATTTGTACAGTTTTCTATTACAGACAGGGCTGAATTCAACCCTGGATTGAAAATGCTCCATGTAATCGGCCCCTAAAATCTATTTGGCAAAGCTATGCTACTTAGCAATTAACATTCCAGTTAAATGTTGAGCTCAAAGTCCATCCTCATTCCTGATGAACACCCAATAACTGCAACAATAAATACTTGCCAATTGCAGTACTACATAACTCTCAAAGTAAGCAAAATATAATTTACAAAATGTTACCGGCACTTTTTTCTGTGTCACTACAACTGCTGAGTCAGCTCCGCGAACCCCAACACTTGTGAGTCCCCCTTGATTAATAGCTTTAAACGCATATTCTGCGAATAGAAACAAGTATAAAACTTCACCAAACATGTTTATAACATAGTTAAGCATTCGATAAAGCACTTACCAACTTGATAAAGTCGCCCTTCGGGTGAAAAAATAGTAATATGTCGATCAAATCCAGCGCTTGTTCCTCGCGACATTTTGAATTTTACGATTCTGAAATGGCGGTACCTCTAGCCAGTGGTATGGGTCAAAAGGAGAACTTCGTGTTATAACATTTAATGGGATTGAGCACAAGTGAGAGAATTAATTCCGCGATAACCTGAAATTCAGGCCCTAATTAGGGCCTGAATTTCAGGTTAATTCCGCGAAGAATGATTGGTTCAGTAAAAACAAGATGATAACTTCATTCTTTGGCTGATTTGCTCATATAAGATACCTATGGATTTGCTAGGGTGCTTTTTAAATGAAATAGACTGGCCAAAAAATCATAATTTATATAGTTAATTGCCAAAAGGTTTATGAATTATTAATGAGTATTTTAAACATATTTAATTTATACACCACCAAGTATGTGTAGAGGTCTGCGCTAATTAATACGTGTTTATGAACATAATATTGCCAATTGCCAACCAATTCACTTACTTCTATAATTCATATGCTTGGTTAGATTCAGTTCTAATCAAATCTCATACGCGTAAAATCTCGCAGCTTGTCAACCAGATGTGTATATGTGTTCGCATTGCTTGTTCCCAGTTGTTGACATGTCTGGAACAAGTTGTCATCATCTTGTAATTATAACAAGGTTGATGAGCCGATGGCGATGCGGCCAACAGACTGGCAACAAGCTGTTCCAACAAATCTGATATCGTTTGCACGTAACAAGTTGTTAACACTTGATGCATGAAAAAGCATTGAAATAGCTGTATACTCAGAACATTCATAACTCATCTACTCGAAACATTCCAAAGAACGAAATCGCATTGAAAATTGCAGCAAAAATTGCAAGTCTAAATGGGCCTTATAAGATTTATATAAATTACTCTACCATAATTTTCTGTCAATTTTAGATGATTTGCCTCAAAATGTTCTGGAAGGTATCAAAGATTATTTTAAAGATAAAGCGTTTGCCCGCATTGCAACTCAGGATGTAGCTTCACAGCCTTCACGCAGGCTACTCAAGATGCAACTACAGGTATGTTGCCTGACGATTTTTTGTCGGGCGAGATACCCAGCACAACAAACGTAACCGATTAGGGTGACTAACTTGCTTTTTTCTTTGTAACTGAACAGGCTCAACTTTTGGATCACTAGAAGTGCTGGCTGACCGTTCTGTGTTAAGAGTGGATTACATCTGGGATATCGATCCTTCTATTCCTGAATGGTGCTCGTTCTCCTCGCGAACCAATGAGAATGGGGACGTTTTAGCTAGTGAACAAAAACCTTAAACACCTAGGAAATTAAATTTTGGAAGCAAATCGTAGATGAATAGATATAAAATATTGTAATTAAGCAAGTTGTAACAATTAAGGTTGATGTCATTAAGCCAATATCGGGATGTGTTTGCACTGGCTGTTCTCGGTTTTTGTGACAAGTCTGGAACATGTCATCACTGCTAAAGTCTTAAGCATAAGCCGTTGAAAGTTTTCATAAGTTTCCATAAGCTGGGAAAGTTTTCGATTTGGCTGGAGGTGTATACGGACTACACCGACATGATATCATTAAGCTTCATTAGCAAGGAGTTTAGCAATACATGTATGCCATGTATGCTTGATACAATTACTAGATATTTAGAAATACACTTTCATGCGTTACAACTTTATAATAATCCAATCTAGTAGTTAGTACATTTCAATTTTTTCAAAAATCAAAATTATTGACAAATAAAAACCGAATTATTTTGCACTTCTGTATTCCGACAATCCACTTAGGAGCTGAAGCTTTTTTCGACCCCGGGCAGGAATTCAGCCATGTTGCATGTCCGGGTTGAAATTTCCGCCCTGCCTTATAAAAGCCTCTTTAATTTTAAATCGAATGCGTGATTATACATAGCAAAAGTTACAATGGGCCAATGGGGTAAAAGTAACTCGTTACAGTTAAAGTTAATTTGCAACTAGTTACCAATTACGAAATTTTATAATACAAAATAGCTGCCATAATTATGTCAAACACATATTATAATGCCAAGCAGTATAGCATGAGTCAGACTACGATTTATGGATTGAATTATATCAATTCTCAACACGAAGTGAATTTATAACAAAACAATTGTTTTATTTAACCAGAAAAATAATTTCTCACATTGAGTAGCATTTGTACTGTAGTCTCAAAAGAGTTGACATCGTTCTATTCAAAGTATTCTATCTTAAATCAATAAAAGTTTTTTTTTCAGTATTTCTGACGTGAATGTCTCTTTGCTGTTCAAGGTCGGCATCGGCCAGTGAACCTTGGGTACATACACACATCTCTGATATGCATTCTGTTCAATAACCAACACAGATATCTCTCTAAACCCAAGCCATAACCACCATGGGGACATGTTCCAAACTTACGCTGGAAATACAAATTAAATACAGTATACTGAGAGTGAACTCTATAAAAACTGGCATGCTAACTCCGGCTGTGTTTTGAAGCCAAAGATGGCGGAAATTGAAGGCTATCTTGTAGGTATGCCCCAGGCCCATAGAAATAATAGATGTCTATTATTTAAATTCTATGCCTGGGCCCCTACGCGGAAATTCATCAGTGAATTTTTGTGTATTCAATACGAAAAATCGACATCATTTCATGTAGAAATTCAATCATTTTTCGGCCGACTATTTTTTAAGTCCGGCCTTGCCGTGACCTTAAAGGTGATCTACAGTCCGATCTGCGCATGTGCACAAATGAGCCCACTTTTTATGATGCAAACAGTTTAACTATGTTTTGAGTTCTTGAAAAGCCTGATTGTTGTTTGTTGATCATTTATTATACTCTAGAAGCTTGAAAATATAAATAGTTGTCGAATAAAGCTCAATATTTTGGACAGAAAAAATGTAAACAAAGGCTTTGTTTACATACGGACTGTAGATCACCTTTAAGAAACTAGAGCAAGTGGTCTTTCAGAATAAGCAAATTGTAGAAACAATTTATTAGACGCAAAGTTATTTGACGAGTAAAAAACAAGTTCAGAAAAAAAAACCCGAGGAGTACCTGATCAGTGTACCAGTAATAAGGTGTTGGATCAATCTCTTCTCGTTTGTAACCTTCCAACAATTCATCCTGAAAATAATAGTACCACCGTTTAGTATTTTTGCACAAGTGAACATAACAAATCCTACACGTTGATTGGTCAAATTTGACGTATTAAGCTGTTATATTGTGAATATAACAAAACCGAAATTTTCAAAATGGCGGCCAAGCCGTTTTGTGGAAGTTACTAATAAAGAAATAAGCGAAATTAAAATAAATTCAGTCCCAAAAAACACAAAAGATTTGTGTAAAAATACTAAAACAATTATTCGCCTCAGGCTCTGTGATTATCGGGAAATATTCACCTCGACTAATTCGTCTCGGTGAATATTCCCAGATAATCACCTCGCCTTCGGCGAATAATTGTTAAATGTCAACCATTGAGAACATGCACTATCCAATCTGGATGTGGGCGTGAACATACATACATATATCGCTCAACCTATATATGTCATCGAGCGCTTTTATACCTTATACAAAAGCCCCGGTCAAGCGATGATGAAGCTTGATGAAGTTGAGAAGCGAAGTGTCACACGAGAAAAAGCCACTTGGATGAGACTTGACAAGACTGCAGTGTGGATTATACCACTTTAGCTTCGGTCTGACAAATGTCCGATCAACTGTGCAGTTGCTCGGACATTGGCTAATAATGATCGACCAGCTTTTCAAAAGTTTACATTCAATTGACAAGCTATCAATTGCTATAAATTTGATGATCTTCTCGCATGATCAATCACATTATACTTAATTTTTGGCAAGCAGTCCCAACGATCCATTACATTTGTGTTTTCGGGAATTTTCTGCATGTCTAGTACCATAAACTTGCGATGTGATTTTGTTGCTTGTCACAACAAAGCCAAGACAATATTTTGTATTCCTTCTCTCGCTTTTATGCTATATGAATAGTACTGTACTACTGTATACTGTATAGTCAAATAATCAATGCCTTTCATTGAGAAAAAACTGCCTATTTTATTTGCTCGGTCAGAATGTCGGTGAAAAATAAGATTAATCGGCCATTTATAGTGTTTTTGTTCGGCAAATAGCCGATTGCTCGATTGCCGAACTAAAACACTAAAATAGGACGAGACTCATGGATATTACCGGTCAAACGATCAAAAACTCTCATCTACTCTCATAAAAATTTGAACCACCTCAAAGTCGACGAGAATTGGTGAGAGTGGATGAAATCGCATCAACTCTTGTGAACTATCATCTTCGTTTTAACGGTGCTTATATTGTTCAACAATTTTTGATATACATGCCAATCTATGCACACCGTAATTCCTCAACTCTCATGCCTGGTCATGCAAATCTGTACCTCTCCATGCAATATTTGGTGCGGACCAGAATTGGCGAGAAAGCACAGCAAATGGCCTACTTACATATTGCCAAATTCTCATTGATCCACCAACAATTTCACCAACGTTCGGCATTAACAAGTCAACCTGAAATAATGCCAAATTAGTTTATCTATTGGTTATAACAGAACACCAGTACTGTGTTCTTGAATTGGTAGAATTTGATGGAAATTTTCAGGTTTTCAATAACGTGAGGAAATTACTATTATGTATAGGTATATTTTAATTTAGTTTACTTACCGACTCAGTGAGCCTTGTATCTTCAGGACAACGCGGCATATAAAATGACTTTATTTCCGCTGGGAAACGGCACAGGAATATCGGCTAAAAATTATATTCAAGGTTTAATAAATGCGTTATTAGTTCATGTTTCGTACAGCGGTCAGGAAGAGTTAAATTCAAGGACTTTCAAGGCCATATATATCAGGAAATTTAACGACTAAAGGGCTGAAAAGAAGGCGTTAGAAATTATAGTAAAAAGTGACGTGAAACTGTTCAAACGGTATAACTTTAATGAATTTCAAACAGCTTTGACCTTTGTAAGACATGAACAAATTCAATTTACAAAATGTCCAATTCTTAATGCCAAACAATTTTAGAAAATATCCACTAAAGCAAGACAATTTAAAGTCTTTCAAGCACTTCTTTATAAACTCAAGGACTTCAAGGACTTCAATTTTGTTTCCAAATTCAGGACCTTCAAGGATTTTCAAGATGTGTACGAACCCCGTGGTTATCTTGTACTGGCCCAATGAATTATGAATCCGTTCTTGAAACTGCGGATTTACCATGGGAAATTTTTCATTAGTTATTGCGGAAATTTTGAAATTGTGATAGGCAAATCTGATGCGCCTTGGATAACTATAGCTCCACATGATTTTTCGAGCTGTTACATGATGTCATCACCTATATATATACATGAACTTGTGGTTATAGCTCGACAACTGGCATCTGTAACTCAGTTGGTTATAGAGCGCTGCATCGGAATGGTTGGTTAGAGCGCTGCACCGGAATGCATGGTTGGTTAGAGCGCTGCACCGGAATGCATGGTTGGTTAGAGCGCTGCACCGGAATGCATGGTTGGTTAGAGCGCTGCACCGGAATGCATGGTTGGTTAGAGCGCTGCATCGGAATGGTTGGTTAGAGCGCTGCACCGGAATGCATGGTTGGTTAGAGCGCTGCACCGGAATGCATGGTTGGTTAGAGCGCTGCACCGGAATGCATGGTTGGTTAGAGCGCTCGGAATGGTTGGTTAGAGCGCTGCACCGGAATGGTTGGTTAGAGCGCTGCATCGGAATGGTTGGTTAGAGCGCTGCACCGGAATGGTTGGTTAGAGCGCTGCACCGGAATGGTTGGTTAGAGCGCTGCACCGGAATGGTTGGTTAGAGCGCTGCACCGGAATGGTTGGTTAGAGCGCTGCACCGGAATGGTTGGTTAGAGCGCTGCACCGGAATGGTTGGTTAGAGCGCTGCACCGGAATGGTTGGTTAGAGCGCTGCACCGGAATGGTTGGTTAGAGCGCTGCACCGGAATGGTTGGTTAGAGCGCTGCACCGGAATGGTTGGTTAGAGCGCTGCACCGGAATGGTTGGTTAGAGCGCTGCACCGGCCTATATAGTTGCATTTTTCACAGCTGTTCCTGGTTTAGGCCTAAATAAATGTATAAAATTTAACTCGAAATTTCCGTCGACAAATTCTTTCAACATTAGTGCATGCAATCGAGTGAAATGACCAAGAATCCATTTTGGAAGGAAATTGTACTACTGCCTTCACATGAATTTTGTAGAACTAAGTTTTCAAGTTTTGAATTTGCTGCTTGCCTTAGTGCCTTTATACATACTACATGGAGATAACGTCGTTCTATGCACGCTGCTCCCTAATTTCTGTCTTCTGCAGGCATGCATGAATTACGTAAATCTTCCCTTATTCTCAAATAGCAAATGAACATGGTGAATTTTTAGGTTAAGATGTAAAATCAATCAATTTCATGGTACTGTTGATAAGCAGTTAGTAGCTACTACCATACCTCGTTGATTTGATCAGTCATCTTTCTTTCAGGTGCTTCTGGGATATCCTGAAATAAACCATATTAACCAATCACAATGTGCAGTTGTACAAAGTCCGTGATATTGACCGTAAAGTTCGTGATATATTGTTTGGCATGCATGCGTTTCCACTCTAGAAAATTTTCCGAAAAATACCATTGTTAAAAGTTGAAAATTTTCAACTTCAAAATTTTTTCGACGGAAAATTTGTGTCGGCCAATCAAATTTTACAAAATTTTCTTTGTGCGGAAAATTTTCCTGAGTGGAAATGAGTCTTAACATCACTTTAACAAAATCCAAAAACAGTTCTTTTAATTTATTGAAACTGCATGTGGTCATTGATTTTACTGCATGCATGTATATCGAATATCGTGATAACTTCCCAGACGAAAATCGTGATATGATAATAAATATAGTGGCCCAATCTTAATATTATCTACATTGTACATACGTCACCAAATTCATAGAATGTTCCATCGTCTTTACGAATATCATGTTCTTTCAAATAAACAATAGCATCAACGTAGTTCATTCGCCTGAAGATAAAATAGGGTTTATCAAGCCTATACAGTCGAACCTTTTATATTACGTATATTTCATTACTTACTTGAAAGGTTTCTTTGGTGGCTTGAATTCCTAGTAAGAAAAAGAATAACTATAAGGTTAGCATGCTTCTACATATATTTCATATTCCTAAAGGAGTTACATCGATAAATTGAAGAAATTCTCCATCAATGATTACATGCGTACCGGGTTGAGTTCATAGAGCAGATGTTTATAAGGCGACTTCAGAACTCGGTCAACAACATCACAAGCCTGCGTAGAATGAAAACAGATTTGTTCGGATCAACTTCCATGTTAACAAACACAACTGAAAAACAGCAATTTGTTACCATTATGCTGTAGTTAATCATTACAATCCTAACCCCCCAGTTCAATCCAGTGAACTCTATAAGTAGCCTACTGGAACGATAACTCCTGGTAAACTGCCCTATGATTGGGCGAAGACAAGATGGCGGCTAATGATCTCTTGTAGGCATAAAACACGCGTGTATTTCGCGTGGGCTTCGTCAGTCGGTTCGATTTCTCACAAAGATCCCATAGTCCTCGCAACTACTCCTGGTTAGGTGTGAAGTGTATGGAAACTTATACATTTGAAAATTCCATTCACAAAAACCATTTACTATTCATTTAAAACACATTTACTTACAAGATCTTCAATTCTATCCAGGAGTTCATCGAACGTAATAAATGCACATTCAGCTTCAACGTGAGTATACCTAAATAAATTAATGTATACTATACTATGTAGTACCAGATATAAAGGATAAATCATCTTCAGTTGTAAACCAATTTCAAATTTTTTCTAGGAAGAGTGCTCTCGTTCAAAAATTGGCATGCTATAGTTATGTCCATGAACTTACTCAGATAAATGTCTTCTAGTTTTTGACTGTTCAGCTCTGTAGGACTGCGCCAGACAGAAAACATCACCTAATGCTGGTAAAGCAGTTTCCAAATACAATTGAGATGATTGAGTCAAGTACGCCTAGAAAAAAAAAATAAATGAAGTGTTTTGCTTCTAAAATTTGGTAAACTTCACAGCATGTGCATCCGGCTTATATGCGTCATCAGGCCTTGGGTACTAAAAAATGCGGAGCAAAAAATTCCGCTAGCAACTTAGGATCACAGTTGTGTATATATATTCATGTTTATATTTGCATGACAAAATTACTGAGTTTTGCTTTGGTGAGGAGTGCAATTATTTTAATAGTTGTACTCAAAATCGGGGATAGGATTTGTCATTTGTAAAGGCCGTTTGTGTTGTATACTTACATCTTCTCCAAAATAACTAAACTTAAAGAGTGTTGATCCACCTTCAACTTGCGTCTGAACTAAAGTGGGTGGAGTGACCTGACAAAAATAGAAATAGAAAATGGATTTTACGACTTCGAGAGTGTGGAAGCGACGTCCTAAAAGCATCGCGAGCCTTATGTAAGTTTCCAGCTTCGTAAACTATTTTAACCATTGAGTTGAATCGTACCTCATTTTTCTGGTTAGGTCTAATAAATGTATAAATTGTACTCGAAATTTCCATCTACAAAATCCTTGTATACAATTCGAAAATCATTTGGGCTCGATAAAGAATCTTACACACTCTTGCACGCGCAACTCCCAGTAAATCCATCTCTGACTTCAGAAAAGAAACGCGTACGCAAGTTCTCTCAGGATCAGTCAGCTTACCTCGTAATATCCTCTGTCAATGTAGTGCTGACGGAAACTGCAAAATTGAATGAAGACAATTACAATAAGAAATTCAGATCCAATCAAACGATTACGGATTGCAGTGGATGGTCAGAAACTGAAGCAGCAAAGCCTTCAGATACCTAGGAAGTTGGCCACAGGGGAATGGTGACCTGGATAAAGAGATGCAGGCACGACTACAGGAAATACATGCAGGAATATTAGTAGGAAAATATTTAACAAATAGATGCCAATGAGACTGAAGACGCAGATGTACAAAACGTTGGTAAGACCGGTGATCCTATATGGCACAGAAACTTACCATTGAGAAACAATTGCTCTCATTTTCATTACTTTTGATATCTAAATAATACAAAAAGCCGAAGAACTTCGAGTCACAAATTTAACACGTTTAGCTATTAAACATCAAAAAATGCATGCGAAAATTTCTGAAAAAAACTAGATCCCTCAAAAAATTCTGGGTACTAAGTACCCAGGTCCCAATACTTTATCCACTTCTGATGCAGTGAAGAACGTCTTTAAAATCAATTGAAAAACAAAATTTGTCCACCGATTTTCTCAGCTCCGAACAGGCTTTTCAAGGAGATTAATTTCCACACTAAGCTCTTGTATGTCTGAATGGCAACAGCATACTAATTCTAGAGGCACCACAGTGGGCATAATAAGGGGATGTTCATTTTTTGCTGACCATAAACGATCGTTTGAATTAGCTTTATAGGCCTACCGTTACTGGGATCAAACTAAGTCAATTCAATTTTGAAATGTCATTTTGGATGTTTATCAAAGCCGTGTTAAGTGCTTTATTACAGTAAACGAATCATTCCCAGTTAACCGGGCCAGCCCAGCTCCACATGAACAGCCCTTAAATTACAAATCTTACTGTTTCGCCTCTCATTAAAATATGTCGGTTATCCAACTGAGTGTCAACACCAGACTCCTAAAGAGAAACAAAAAATATCATCCATAATCAACATTTATTTAAAATCAGACATTTTCCAGACTGAATTCATCATATCCACATGTGCTATAGAAATAAAAATCCGCCGTACTCGTAATACTTGAACACATACCGCATTCATGATGGCGTCAGCACCGCCAGGTGGTGCGAGACCAACCAACTGCCAGTAATCAACCTTCATTTCATGACCGCCTGGTGCCTAGCAAGGATTAGAAACACATGAATTATTAATATAAACAAAGTTGCATTTACAGTTAGGTTTGATTGATTGATTGATTGATTGATTGATTGATTGATTGATTGATTGATTGATTGACATCTTCATTTAAAAAGACATGTTAAAATATGTGCTCTTCAATGAATACGTGTACCAATGCTAGTAAACAAATTTCTAATAAATAAATATCAAAATATTTACAACAGTTAATACAGACTATACATATGCAAATAAATTAATATAATACAATTATTAAGAAATTTTAAATTTAAACTCAGCAAGAGATTGAGCTCTAGCAAGTTTGACGGGTATGTCGTTCCATAGGGTAGCCCCTCTGTAAAGCTTTTCTGTAATGTTTCAGTTAAGGGTTTGAAACAAAAAGTTTATGATAAGAGCCTCGCAAATTGTGTTTGTGTATCATAGAAGTCGATTAATAACGAGCAGGTACAAGTGAAGCCAACATACCAACTTTCCTTCTAGAACTGCAGAGATCTTTCCATACACAGTCACAGTAGACTCTGTCGACAACAGTAGCGCATTATACGTTTGACACTATATATTAAACAAATATACAACAAAGAAAAAATGAAAAGGCTAACTCCCCAAAACACAACGCGTGCATAAAGGACTAGGTACTGGTCTGGCCTTTTTACGGTTTCCACGAGATCTAGCCCACCCTGTGGAATCTAACCTGACCTTTTCACAAAATGGACATCGAAAGCGAAGAGTATAAACGTGTGTGCATAGGAAAGACGTCAACGTAAAGAAAGATTCTTCTGTTTTTTGCAATGAAAATGCAATCACTATTTTTTAGCATAACTATTGCTTACCAGTCTGTCAGATAACACACATTGAAGAAAACCAGTACCATCTCTTAAAACAAGAAACATCAATGTCTTCCCTTGAAAACAAATATCGGGAAATTAATTGGTATAATAGTTTGAATGAATTAAATTTAGGCACAGTCTGTGCAAAGCAAAGTAAATACAATACCTTGTCTTCTTATTCTGTGAATCCATGCCTGAATCATGACGCGTTCATCACGGTGGCTTGTGGCGTCTCGTATTTTGATCTGCAGAAGTAAGTTAATGTACATATAAACCTCATATATATATTTTATTTCTTTCAAGCACATTTGAAGAACGGCTTTGAGAATCATTTTGTCTGGAAATAGTTGCTATCATCTTGTAACAAGATTGATGAAGCCAACAAGCACGCAACAAGTTGTTCCAACAAATCTGATATTGTCTGCACGTAACAGGTTGTTAACAAGTTGATGACAACGAGCTTGTAGCAACTTGTTATACGACAGCCTGTATAAGAGTTGTTCCAACAACCTGTAGCAAGTTTGTTACCGTCATCAACCTTGTAATAAGGTGATAACAACTTGTTCCAGACTTGTCACAACAACTGAGAACATGCAATGCGAACACATCCTGATATCGGCTTGACAACAACCTTGTTACAACTTGTTTGCAGCTCAAACTCCTTACTAACCTTTCTCGGTTTGGGCAACGAAGGATCTTCTTCAATAACAATCTGTTTCGCTTCTTCAAGGTTCTTTGCACGTTGTTCAGCCTTCTCAGACTATACGAAAAATGCAAGAAACGTAAATTTTGTAGTTATTCAGTACTCCCCAGGGGTCAAAATATATACGCTACTATAAAATGCCTGATGAAATAGTAAACTTCAATTTCTCAAAATAAGTTTTTTTTTATAAGAAAATGATTTTTTGCTGTGAGCATGCCTAATAGCCATTTTTCGAATAGTTTTAAAGAAGATACAAAAAAAGCCAGCAAACCATACTTCCTTCTCTTCTCGCTTGTCAGATTTCCTTTGTTCTTGTTGGAATATCTTTGTTAGTTTCTTCAGCTGCGCTTTCGAGATTTCCTCAAACTTCTGCAAACACAGTGTAAGGTATTATATAATATAACTAGAGTGAAACACGCAATTTGATGTAATTATTTCAAATCCGACTAAGAGGATTTGATCCAGTCCGATGCAAAGCCGAGGACTGGGTGAAAAAGCGAGGACTCTCTAGTCCAGTCTGAATTGGAGGATTTGAAATAACAGTCATACGAATAAATCACTACTTAAAGTGAAGTGAATTAGTTTTGATCCAGTCCAAGGACTGGATTAATATATACTTCACCAGATATCCAGTCTCATCATGTGAGCGAAATAAAGTACTGTAATATGGCTGGCTAATTTACACGTGAATTATTAATAAGTTTGAGATTGGTCAATACCCGGGCAGGACCAGACACGGAAAATTTAATTAAATGCCTTCGCACGGCATGGCTGCGGAAAGTAGGAAGCAATGGAGCGATGCTACCTCCAAAGTCTAAAGGTCTAACTCCAAACCAAATATGCACTTCAGTAACTTGTGTAATTCAAAACTGAGTTGAAATACAAACTGTGGAGTACTGGCTAACTCCAAAAATTATTTGGAGCTAGGAAAACTCCAAAAATCATTTAGGGGCTAGGCATCTAAGCCTGGAGTTACTGGCTAACTCCAAATATCATTTGGAGCTAAGTATAAATCATGAAAAAACTAGGTATTTAAGCCTGGAGTTTTGGATTTTCCAATGGAAGCCCCTAGCAGCACACTTGGCATTTTGTTCTCGTTCAGACGCTAAATTTTGCTCTGCACTTGCGGCGCAACCCATTCTCCTACCCTTTGACGCTTGTCATGCATGCTCTGTTGACCGCGTGTGAGACAGGCTCTGGGTACGAGAATGTGGCATTAGCCTAGCTGCATTTGAAAATTGGTTACCTCCACAAAAATAACATCTACAGGTGTGTCGCACGGGCTTTAGAGAGGTTCAGGTTTGACTTCCACTTCCGCTACCTCTCACTGGCTTAGTACGCATGTGATTGGTTAAGCGGATATATCAAATGCATCTGATTGGAAAATGGTCGCTTAATGGTAACGGTAGTGGAAGTCAAATCTGAACCTCTCTTTTCTAAAATCGATTACAAAGAAAACATTTTAACGTGTGAAGTTAACAGTATATTAAATAGTTAACAAAAACGTGAATAAACTTATAATAAAGATAACCGTTTAAATAACGTTTAAATAAAGTCAACGTTTTAATAAAGTTAACCGTTGTTTCACTGTTGTTTCACTGTAGTTTTTCTATGAAACAATTAGCAAACGGTTTCCGCGCGTCATCCAAGCACTTGGGATGTTGCTCGGGCCTTTGCTTGAAACGTCGAAGTTTCCCTAATTCTATTTTTCAGGTGGTTGAATCCCTACCTACAGTATCTACAGTTCTCCAAGATTAATCCAGCTACAGTCGATATTATTCTGTTTTCTTTTCAAATCCATCATAGCTAGGTGTACACCGGATAGTGCTTTTTGCTATCCGGCCGGATACTGGATAGTTGTAAAATATTCCGGCCGGATTACCGGATATTTTGGAGAAAAATTCATACATGCCAGATATGATTTGATAACCACATAAGGCATGGCATCCCAATAAAGAGAGCAAAATTAAAACTTCGCATGCGCTGTTTATTGGTTAAACATGTTAGCTAACAAAAGTACTTTTTGACATTTTGTGTCAATCTTCTTTGTATTATTTTACAAGTAACAGATATTGAATAGCACGCTTCACAAATTATCCGGTTTGGGTTAAATTGATATTCAAGTGGCTTATAAAAGAAATGTCCATGACAACATACATGAAACCTTAATTCTTCGTAAATCACGACAAAAAGTGCAACCAACACTTCTAAATTGCGTATAATTCAATATCCAGTATCCGGCCGGATATCTTCAATTATACGGCGGAATAATTGATAGTGCGATTTTCCCACTATCCGGCCAGATACACTATCAGTTACACCCCTAATCATAGGTAATCCAGAAAAACAAACTTTTGCTGGCGAAGTGTTTCTAAAATTTATTTATTCTAAAAGGCCACTCGCCGTAGTTTCTTGGGGGTAAAGTCTGACTAAATGAACGATAGACTGAAAAATCATGAAACATTTACATGAAATGATGCCGACTTATCTTACTGAATTTGGTGAACTTCCGTGGTGGGGGCCTAGGGCATGCCTACAAGACGGCCTTCAAATTCCGCAATCTTGGTTTCAAAAACGATGCCGTTTACGAGTTATCGTTTCAGTAATAATTGAAATAAATATTTCAAAAGAAAATTACCATGCCTTTCTCTTTACTGTCAACCATTATTTTGGGAAAAGGTTCTTTTCCACAAAATTCCATCGCCTAAAAAATTGATAATTTTGTCAATGATAAATATTGATAATTTTGTTTCTCCCATTCCTTGTGAGCATACAAGAAAGGGACGAA